TATCTAGTATTATCTAAGACTTTCTTTGTCTTAGAGTATTATACACCTATACTGCCCTACTATGGAGAAAGGCAGTAACTGCTAAACAAGAAATTTGTGGAAAATTAGCATAAACTACATTTTTATAAAAAGCAGTAGGTATTTAATTAATTTTTTTAACTTATGAGACATTTGAATGCATTTCTGTGTTGAATTCGGTTTCATTTTGTCCATAGCTTTACCATAGCACAAGAAATCGCATTTTAATTTTTTTTTTTGCAGTTACTGCCTTTCTCCATAGTAGGGCAGTATAATAGGTGTTTCTTTTAACTTGAGAGTCTCAAGTTGAGACAGCTCAATATCTCGTAAAATACGCATTTCACAGAAAAATGTCTTTAATAAAAGGTTAGTGTGACCAAAGGGGACATTATTTGGTGCTACCGCTAGCCACCCCCTACCCCTCCTTAAGGGTGAAACGGGGGGAAACTTTAGAAAGTCAAATGGAATGATTTTTTTTACAGATTTTGGTAGTACATAAAAAAAGAATAACTTTTATTTGAAACTTTTTTCAATTTATCAACAGATGGCGCTGTAATTCAAAATTTAAGAAAATTGGGTTTCCTTGTAAAATGTATTATTTGAAACGTTTGAAAAACAAAAATTAACCTTAAATCAACAATAGTCGGCTCTGAAAACAATTTATAATTAATGTTCAAAATGTCATCCTTTCATTTCGACACATTTTTGAATGCGGGTAATGAATTCTGGCTCCACCATGTCCTCCCGAGTTGTAGGAATTGCAGCGTAAACTTTTTCTTTCAAGTAACCCCACAGGAAGAAGTCTGGCAGATCGTTTTCTAGAAAATTCCGGTAATTTTCACCATTTAATGCCGTTCGCCAAAGGTACCGCACCAAACATTTACCGACCAGGGACGCTGGTGCTCCACTTGGTGGCGAAATGGAAGGACGACATTTCGAACATTTGTTATAAATTGTTTTCAGAGCCGACTATTGTTGATTTAATGTTAATTTTTGTTTTTCAAACGTTTCAAATAATACATTTTACAGGGAAACCCATTTTTCTTAAATTTTGAATTACAGCGCCATCTGTTGATAAATTGAAAAAAGTTATTAATTTTTTTATGTACTACCAAAATCTGTAAAAAAAGGGTTATCCCATTTGACTCTCCAAAGTTACCCCCCGTTTCACCCTTAAGGAGGGGTAGGGGGTGGCTAGCGGTAGCACCAAATAATGTCCCCTTTGGTCACATTAACCTTTTATTTAAAACATTTTTCCGTGAAATGCGTATTTCTCGAGATATTGAGCTGTCTCAAGTTAAAAGAAACACCCTGTATCGGCGCAGTAGTTTTCAATGGATCAAATCATTTGATCCATCCATCTGAAAACTACTGCGCATATATGATGTAACTACTCCACATAGATCCAACCATCTTGTACCTACTGCGCATGTCCGTAATTTTGAATCCGCAATCCCTGAGGGACCCCATAAATATCTGAATACTAAATTTTACCCAAATCATTAAAGCCAAACGACGAATTTTCGTTATATTGGATCAGCCATTTTATTTAAAAAAAATGGATATCAAATTTGTAATCAGGCCCTCAAAAACCACATGTTGTTGATAAGTTTATTGAATAAGCAATGCTTATTAAGCATACGGGTTTTTTAATAGTATAAGGAGTGCCATAGATGTGCATATACAGGGTAAATTTTAAAAATTATTATTATTTTATAAGTAATTTTTTATTGGTTAACATTAAGTTGTGTTATAAAATAATACAACGTTAACCAGGAACAAATTTTGTTTATTATGAAATGCGAATAATGTTCTCATTGGTCCAAATAAATATCGTCATTTATGTGTAAAATTATAATTTTTATGTAAAAAAAAAATTGTTTTTTATAATCGAGAGAACGAGAGAGATCGAGAGAAACGAGAAATTCTCGAGCGAGAGAGGGCATTCTCTCGTCTCGTCTCGAGCCTTTTTTCGAGAGAAAATCGCCCTCTCGTCTCGTCGAGACGAGACGAGACGAGACGAGAGGCGAGAATCTCTCGTATCGGCGGCATCACTAATACCTACAATATAATAAAATAGCAATGGCAAGTACCTACTTGAATATAATAAACGTGATATTTAATTAAATGCTAAAATACAAGTTTAGGAATTTCATAGTCAATAATCATAATTAGTAAATAGTTTGCTTATATAACAAATCATGAATTATACTTAGTGAAATAAAAAAAAACAAAAGCCATTAGGTAGGTATTAAACTGAAGGACAAATATTTTATATAATTTATAGAATATGCATATTTTCCCCTTAAAAAAATTGCATGGATTGACCCAAGGTGTATTATCTTTGGATTGACCCACTTTTGTCTTCGTTCCTATTTTTTTTATTTCCACCTTCTTAGTAAATGACATTTTATAGGTTAATTTTGTTGTTTTTGTATCCAAGTAAACGATATATTATGGGAACAGACCTGTAATATTTTACGGGCATGAATAAAAGACCTGTAAAGTTTTACAGGCTTGTAGAAAAGCAATTTATAGTTATTTACGTGTCAAGCTTTGTAAATGAATCTTTACAGGCGAGCTGAAAAATTGTGGGGTGAGCGACCCAGGAGCGAACCCCATAATCCAGTGAGCCTAGTAAAGATTAATTGCAAAGCGTGACACGTACAAACTTTTATTTTCAACTTTAGATAACGATTTTTAATTTTAAAATTTTAATTAATATGTCAAATGTGACATTTAATTTCATAAATTGCTTTTATACAAGCCCGTAAAATATTACAGGTCTGTTCCCATAATGTATCGTTTACTTGGATACAAAAACAACAAAATTAACCTATAAAATGTCATTTACTAAGAAGGTGGAAATAAATAAATTGAATTTATAGAATAAAATGTCACATTTGACATATTAATTAAAATTTTAAATTTGAAATTAGTTATCTTAAGGTGAAAATAAAAGTTTGTAGGTAGGGTTGCCACCTTTTTTTTTGTAGTTAAAGTACATTGGTTATTATAGGTAAGAAAAAAAAAGTACATAGTATCAAAATAAAGTACAATTTATTTTTGTTTAAATTTAAAAACCTATTTTTTATTGATTTTGCGGTTTAAACATTTTTTTGGTGTAACATATTCACTATCAAATATTTGATCCGTTTCACTACCGAAATTACGTTTTGTAGGTGTATGTGGAGTATTCTTGTCCATGATTTACTAATAGTATAGTAAATTACTATACCTAGCATAAATCTATAAAACTATAAATCGTATTCTTATTGCACTTAAACCGCTTCGCACAAATTAAACAAGAAATTGTGTCTTCTTCTTCTTTCAACTAGGGCGGATTTATGGCTTAACCACGGTGGTTAAACCACCGCCCTTATGGTCCTGGACAAACGTCTTTATTAACCAAATTAACACAATGCGTCTGTGGCGCTGGCGAGTGGCGACATCGATAAATTTCGTTTAACGAAAAAATACTTACGACTAAACTTTTCAAAATCCCAAAGAAATCAAATCATGCGAAATAAAGTATTTTTGTGTACTTTGTTGTTCTCATAAAGTATAGAGTACAATTACCTAAAATAACGTACAATACTTTATTATAAAGTACGGGTGGCAACCCTATTTGTAGGTGTCATGTTATTAATCTATAGGCTCACTGGATTATGAGGTTGGCTCCTGCGTCGCACATCCCACAAACTTTCAGCTCGCCCGTAAAGATGCATTTACAAAGCTTGAAACGTAAATAACTATTAAAAGACCTTTACATAAAATCCTAGCTTAAGTTGAAATTAACTTTTAGTAACAAAATTAAAATATTGTATTGTCCTAATAGTTTACAATTTTTTAACACTTAATCCAAGATAAAGTAATTTAAGTTCATGGTTTTATCTGAGTAAGTTTACACCCATTGACAATAAAAGTAATGTTGCGGAAATGAACGGTCATGATATGTCTATGAAATGTCATTGAAACGGATAAGTGAAATTGCAGACTGACCTTTCTGCAGATTTTTATGTAAACCTTTAAGGACGCCTCAGTAATGCACTGGCTGGCGAGCACGTTGCAAAACACGGTGGGTCAGGAAAAACAAATTGTTATTATATAAATGCAGAAGTTGTGAATAATAAAATTGATATTACGGTAACGTTTCTACGTTGTGAAACCATTTTGCTTTACCATTGTTGCTCCATAAATAGTTCATAAAGAATTCAATTAGCAATAATTGTAATTTTCAGATGTGACGATAGTTATACATGTTTTAGGTAAATTTAGATATATTGTTGTAATGTTATGGGTTCTATGCCCACCTATGGGTTTCCAAACATTTTAGCAGTTAAGACATTTTGGTATTGACTGTACTTTCATAAATTAATGCATTATAAGTGTCTATACACAAAGTAAATACCACTTAGAATTATTGCAAATTATTAATAATTTATAAATATATATATTTAATAAAATGTATACAAAAAAATGGTATGCGACCGGAATAATTAAGCATTTAAAAATTATTGGCTCGTAGGTAAACATATAGCTGTCTTGTCTTCTTAAAGCAGTATTAAGTTAATTGATTGAACTAGAACGAAATAATTTTAATTGGGAGTTAAATATACCTATCTGTCATTGGTTAATTTAAATCCATATGTTTTCTTGAATTACATATAGGTACCAGTTGTGGCGATCCTTTCGAGAAGTGGGTTAAATTTTGCCCATTATTTTGGGTCACTTAGTCACTTTAAAATTTAAAAATTACATTGTTCTTAGGAATTTAACAGTTTAATTATTGTTTAAACAATATAAATATTATTACAACAATAAGTTTGATTTCTCAAAATCGCAACTGTCTTTGATGATTAGGAAGTTTTAAAAAAAAATTCAGCTTCATTTATTCGTTTCCCTAGTTAAGTTATTTTATTTACTGTTAATTCATTTAAAAATGTTATTATTTAATTAATTTAATATTTATTTGTTTTTAGATATTTTAGAATTAATTACCCATCGAATATGGAATCTGAATCAGGTACTACAAACACAAAGATCTCAGACTCAGGATATTCAAATAGTTGCAGTAATAGCAATTCTCAAAGAAGGTAACTTAATTATGAAAGCCTTAAAACCACTTTAAATATTTTTTTAAAATTTTCTTCAGTGCAAGTTCCAAATCTAGACATAGCGGAAGTAATTCAAGTAGAAGTAGTGGATATTGTGGAGCAACCAATCCGAATGGCAGGTAAATAATAATACTTTTTATTATAATTATCAATAATTTTCATTTTCCATATTATATTTAAATATTTAATATCTTAGTACTTAATATACTAAATAGTCCTTAATATATTATATAGTTCTTAAAAAAATCTTGAAATGTTTTTCCAATAATTTATTTTACTTCTTTAAGGTCCTTAGTGTCCCAAGTGTTTTCCTTTAATTCGTTTTTCAAAGAACAATAGATAAATAAAATAGAATGTAACATGTAAGTATACATTAATTCTTTTGAAAATCTTTCCTATTCTTAAAACAACTCAACTAACCTCTTAAAAATGTTTTACAAATTTGTATTCTTTCTTATTCCTCCTGGTCAATATCTCTTCATAATCCTGATCAATAATAAAAAAGCTTATTAAACTAATCTTCGGTTTGGCGTATACTTTGCTTTTACTCTGGTTCTGGAAAAAGCCTCATTTAACTAATTTTACACCCAAAAATATAAAATTATTGAATTCATCATTTTATTTAATTCATCTTATAATGATTCAAAATTTTTACTTCCTTTTTTAGCGTTGATACAGGACCTCAACCTTCCAAGCGCAACAAAGATAAAGAACACAAAAAGAAAAAGTCTAAGTCAATAAATTTAACCGCCCTTAACCTCACCCCCATAGCCTCATCGGCTGTCACCAATCCTGCAGAATCTAGAGCTGCCATAGTTGTATTAAAAGAAGCCCCATCCACTGAACAAATTATGGGTATCGAGGCATTACCCTCTGTTACTGTGGATACGGTCGTCCCCCAAACAGAGGGTATGGAGAATGCTGTGGAAATTGTAGCGATTGTCTCGCCACCTATTCCAATTACAGGTAATAACAATTATACTTAAATCATTGACTTCTTCACTCAATGCTTAAATAGTTTTAGTTATCTTCTAATACAATAATTCATAAAATAACACAAGTTTATAAAACTGTTGTAAAATTGTAATTTAATGCTTTATTTTTTTTAAATTTATTTAAGAAATATTTATTTAAATTCCAAAAGTAAAGGGTAGTATGAAACAAATGGTAAATACTGATATGGTTTACGTCGAGTTTATCCTAAATAATTTAATCTACCAATATGTAAACTGGGATATTAATTTGGTATCTAATACTTCATCCTCTATTAATACAAGCCATTACTTTTTATTCTAAAACAAACAAAAATTGAACTGGTGAGCAAAATAAATAAAATGTATTTAATATTATCACTTTAATGCAAAATATGTCAATTATTATCCACACATTATGTGACATCATGTGCTACAAAAATGTGTGACATTGGAGAGGAAATTCTAAAATCCAATAAAAATGCGTGACGTGACTTTGTGGACGACCTCTTACATCATAAATCGTAAATCTGCAATTGGATATAACTAAATAAATTTAATTTGCCTTGCATAAAAACTTAAATAAATAATTTTTAAATAATATTGGGTTTTTTAAATTCATGTGTATGCTCTTAAAAAAAATATTTTTAGTCCAATAGAAATTGCATAAAATTTAAAAAAAGGTCCTGTAATAATAACTGCTTATACAGTTATAAACATGTCGATGGTATTTTTGCAAAAGGGCGAATATGACATTTCTGCATGACCTAGAAAAGAAATATGAATATACATATATATATATATATATATATATATAGATATGCAATCCTACATTACCAAGCCCGAAACGTTACATTCTACAGTATAAACGAAGCCCACTCGGTTTTTACGAAGCCCGAAATCGGGCTTCCTAAAATTAGCGTGTATAAATTTGTTTTAGAGTTAAGTGATGCCCCCTTGTTTCAATGGCGAAAAAGTGGTGGGCTTCCTAATGCCATTCAAACCTATCAAAATATACACCCTTAGTTCCAATGCTTTGGCGGTAGGGGGCACACGAGTCAAACGAGATTATATACAGCTTTGTATAAGTATTACGCAGTATACGAAGCCCGTACATCTGGCAACAATGGGGACTATACGCTCGATGACTTTTTGATAGGAAGGCGGGGAAAATAATGCGGGATTCTTAAATTTGTATCTACTGATTTTCAAAATAAATGTTATATTCCCAAAATTATGTTTTGTTCACTTTCAATTAATTTTAAAGAATTATTTATTTTTGAAATATTATTTGGAGTGCATTTTTCTTTGGGGCGGTTTTACAAGTTGTCCATATATTTTACATAGTTTTAATTGGGGAAACAAGGGGATTTGTATATATTAATATTATTATTATTCAATGTTACATTTAAATAATTTAAATAAAAATAATTTTTTATTTATTTGAAACATTTCCAATTTTAATAAAAATAATTTTTAATTTATTAAAAAAAAATCCAATAGCAGTATGAAATAAATTAAAAATTATTTTTATTAAATATCATTTTAACTATGGTTTCGCGTAAAAATCGAACAAATTTTGGACATTTGTTTGCAAGTGATGCCAGAATTGAATATATTTTTGTTAACTTGTTTGTACATCTAAATGGTACTTTTTTTTCAAAAAAAAAATTTCATCCATTGACCCCTGTGGTTTTCAGGCCTTAAGTCACTCCTCACTACTGTGTTAAAAATAGATAAATTTCGATATTTTGTAATAACATTTTTATTTAAAAACGTATCGATTTGAAATTAAGATAAAATGTAGACCTTATTAGTGGCAATAAATCCACGTATTATTTTTTTTAGATTTTAATATACAGGGGGCACGGTGGACAATTTAATTTAAAATTTTACCATTTTTTAAGGGTTAAAAAGTCGAAGAAGCAACGTTGTTTTATAATTTTGAGTATATCACGTTAAAGTACTGATAATTAACTATTATTTGATATATAAACTTCTAAATGCAAATTATGTTTCTACGAGAGACACCATTTTTAAGTTAAGCCTTCAAAGAGCGTAATACTAACGTTTTTACAAATTATAAATTGTTTTAACTAGTTTTATAAGATAATGTATTATATATTACATACAATATTTTATATATAACATACAATTCTTACATATTTATTTAAAAAAATCGCCATAGATGGAGCTAAAATTAGTTTTATTTATAAATTTTAAATTTTTTTAAGTTTACTAATTTTGATCATAGTAGGCATCACAGACTTATCTCTATGGTAACCTATCATTGGAAGCATGAAAAATGATTTAACAGTTCAGTTTATAAGTTGCAAATGACTGATTGCGTTTCAATTTATAAGTGTACTATAAACTTAAAATATTAATTTATTAAAATGAATACACTAAATAATAATTATAGACAGTATCAGCAAGTTAGAAATTATAACCTACTTTAATTTTATTTTTTGCTCCACAACCAAGCTTCAATTTATGTTTTACTCGATAAACAAGCTTCAATTTTAATTCCTAACTAAGGAAAGTAATATTTACCCAATAAATAAATTAGAATAAAGACTTTTTATGTTGCAATCGGCTATTTAGATATAACTATATTTTTATTCATTTGTTTTTCGATTTTTTGTAATTAGTTATTTTGCATTTTTTTATATTTAATATAATGCTATACAGGGTGTTTCTGGAGAAACGCAAACGGTATGGATTTGAAATTTTAATAGAATATACAATTTGATTTAGACTATACATAAAGTCAATAGTTTTCAAGATATTAATTTTTTTCGTTAAAATGCACGTTAATCAAAATAGCCTCTAATTTGTTTGTTATTATGTTTGTTGACATGGGGTTGGAATTTTTGAAATATTAAAACATTGTTTAGTTTTTTAAAGGTTTTTCAACAAATACCTTGAGAAAAACCACTTGAAATTAGGCAAACTTCAAACAATAACAACGTTTTTATTATAAATGTAAAACCCTGTATGTTTTAACATAATCAAATAAAACATTAAAGAATCTTTCGATTGGTATTATAGTAACTGGGTCAGAATTTCTCAAACGGGCCACCTGAATTAGGTCAAAATTAGTTTTTGATTGTAGATACATTTTTTCGATAGTATTTTACATCACTAACACAAATCCTAAAGGATTTTGTAAAAAAAAAATTTCAATTGACATATTCATGATATTAAAAGTAAAAGTTTTTAGTAATTAAAAAATAAAAAAAAAATCATTATGGCTAAACTAATTATCCGATTCCAACGATTTAACTAGCGTTGGAATCTTGTTTTGACATAGATTCTTTGTTATTTTTTTCAATTGTACAATTTTCATTTAGGTCGATTTTTTTTTGTTTTTTTATAACAAATTCGGAAATAATTGGCTTCTGCGCCAGCTATCGACTCGAAAAAAAAAACACATATACTCCAATCATTTTTCGAAATTATGCTGCTGAGAAAAAAAATGGCCCGCAGGTTCCAGACCACCGTAAGACGTCGCGTCACAAGCGCGAACAGCGTACACGGTTCGGAGCGTGAGCTGACACCGCGCGCGGCCACAAAAGGACGAATAACTTTTTGTCAACCTGCGGGCCATTTTTTTTCTCAGCAGCATAATTTCGAGAAATGATTGGAGTATATGTGTTTTTTTTCTCGAGTCGATAGCTGGCGCAGAAGGCAATTATTTCCGAATTTGGTATAAAAAAACAAAAAAAAATCGACCTAAATGAAAATAGGACAATTGAAAAAAATAACAAAGAATCTATGTCAAAACAAGATTCCAACGCTAGTTATATCGTTGGAATCGGATAATTAGTTCAGCCATAATGAATTTTTTTATTTTTTAATTATTAAAAACTTTGACTTTTAATATCATGAATATGTCAATTAAAAATTTTTTTTTTACAAAATCCTTTAGGATTTGTGTTAGTGATGTAAAATACTATCAAAAAAATGTATCTACAAACAAAAACTAATTTTGACCTAATTCAGGTGGCCCGTTTGAGAAATTCTGACCCAACTCTTTCCTAAAGTTAAAATTTCAGAGACATTTAACAATTTCTAATATTCAATACTATTTTGTATCAACAAACCTCTGAAATTCTACATGTGGTTTAATGTAACAGTATCCATGGTTACCACCGAATCTGTCATTGTTTAAAATTAATTAAAATATTTGATTGAAAAAATAATAACTCAAAAAATATTGACTTTAGGTATAGGATATGGTATAGCCATTTTACTCAGAATTTTATGTAGAATTAAATAATGTAAAAATATATGAGGTATTCCGGTAAAACAGGAAGTATTATTTTGTTTAAAATAATTTAGGAAAGCGAATACTTTACGCTATTAAAATTTTAAATCGATGTCTCGCGATTCCCTAGAAACTTCCAACGGACTAAGTACGTGAAACACCCTGTATATTAAACGTCATTTATGTGTTATGCTTTACTGAATTATTAATAAAAGACATACAATATTTGTATAAAAATGACAAAATGTACTAAACTAAGCATTTATGAATACTGCTACTGCTAATTCAAAACTGATCCTGGCCACAGAAACATCATTTGCATAAAAAGTTAATAATAGTCAAATATCAATACTTTCACGTGCTATACTCAAATTTATAAAACAAAGTTGCTTCTTCGACTATTTACCCTTTAAAAATTGTTAAATTTTAAACTAAATTATTACCAGCGCCCCCTGTACGTTATAATCTAAACAAAATTTTTTCATGGATTAATTGTCATTAGTAAGATCTACATTTTGTCCAAATTTCAAATCGATACGTTTTGAAATAAAAAAGTTATTTAAAAAAAATGAAATTTCTTCATTTTTAACACAGCGAAGAAAAAAATTAAAATAAAAACAAAGTTGTCAATGGACGAGATTTTTTTTTTGAAAAAAGTACTGCATTAAGATGTAGAAATAAGGTAAAAAAGTTTCAATCGATTTCTTGAACCCTTGCAAATCGACCGTTCGATCCTTTCGCGAAACCGTAGTTAATGTAACATTGAATTGCAAAAACTGCTTTTTGACAGATAGCTTCTCATGGCAATTTGTCAATTAACATTCACAACTGGTCAATTTATTTATACATGGCAAACAACGACCAAACGACCAAACAACAATAAGGGTTCTCTATTTGGATAGTGCTTATTAGGGTGGGCCGAAAATCCGCTTTTTTAGAATTTCGTTTAGTAATAGCAAAAATTTTGTTCATTATGTTGTAAAAAAATTTTGTGTAAAAGATTAAAATTTTCGATCAACATCCTAGGCTCGCCCAACGCAATTAAAGATCAAAATGTTCAAAAAAAATTTTTCTTAATTTATTTCGATCGGAAATTTTATGCTGTACACAAAATTATTTCAGATGGATAGTTTCAGAAATTTGTTCATTATGTTGTAAAAAAAATTTGTGTAAAAGATTAAAATTTTCGATCCTCATCCTAGGCTCGCCCAGCGCAATTAAAGATCAAAATGTTCAAAAAAAAATTTTCCTAACTTAATTCGATCGGAAATTTTATGCTCTACAAAAAAGGTCCTTACACTAAATTACTTCAGATGGATAGTTTTAGAAATAAACCCGATTTTAGTATCAAAATTTTTTTGAACATTTTGATCTTTAATTGCGTTGGGCGAGCCTAAGATGTTGATCGAAAATTTTAATCTTTTACACAAAATTTTTTTACAACATAATGAACAAAATTTTTGCTATTACTAAACGAAATTCTAAAAAAGCGGATTTTCGGCCCACCCTAGTGCTTATCTAAAAGGAACCAAAAACTTGTTCGGAGCTTAACAAACTTATTTGTATATACCTAACTCATTTTTAATGCTGCTCAAAAACTTAATTATAATTTGAAAGTCCTCTCAATAATTTAAAAGAATTTCTAAATAATGATAAACTTTTTGAGCATTATTAAAAATGAGTTATTTTAGAAAAAATTTTGTTAAGTCCAAAAATAGTTTTTGTCGTCCTTTTAGATAAGGATTGTCCATTTATACTTAGGTACCTTTACAATATTATGTTATCAACCGTTTTGGTTAAAGTAATATTTTATCTACGATTTTTATTGGATAAAAGGCAGCTTTAACTTTATAATGTAATGCTATAAAACAATATTTGGTTGGTAAAACATTTTTCTTGTTTATAGGATGCTAAACTAAATAGCAATTTTCCCCACTTCTTTTTTTTATTTTTTAACTTTTAATTTGGTTTAGTTTTCCAAAATTTTCCCAACATTTATTAAATATATAGCCGGTTTTCCACGGATGCTCCTCAACTTGGTCTAGGTCTTTTAAATCAAATTTGCCTATAATTATAAATTTGGACAATATTTTTAAATAATGACTTATAATTCATTCAATAATATAATAGTTTTAATTAAAATAATTATAAATCACACTATTTTTAAATACACTGCCCTACAAAATTATTGCATAATAAATAAAAAAAATTAACTCTAAAACGCCTTTACTAATCTTTATGAAATTTTGGATAAAAATACTTCAACTTATATCTCAATTTACGTGTTCAAGGGTTTTTCGAGAAAATATGTTTAAAGCCTTTTTATTTAATAATGAAAATAAGTCCGAAAAATCACTTTTTTAAATAAATAAAAAATATGCTGTTAAAGAGCGTATTTTTTTAGTATAGGTACCCTGAAAATTTTGTACAAATCAAGCGAACAGTAACGAAGATACAGCGCTTCAAAGTCGTGAAAAATGACCACTTTTCAGCAAAATAATCAAAAAGGCGTCATTTTTACCGACTTTGGAGCGCTTCGTTAATTTTCGTTTGATTTGTACAAAATTTTCAGGGTGTACTAAAAAAAATACGCTCTTTAACAGCATATTTTTTATTTATTTAAAAAAATTCCCTAAAAGTTATATTTCGAACTTTTTTTCATTATTAAATAAAAAGGCTGTAAACATATTTGCCGAAAAACCCTCTAACACGTAAATTGAGATATAAGTTGAAGTATTTTTATCCAAAATTTCATAAAGATTGGTAAAGGCGTTTTAGAGTTAATTTTTTTTATTTATTATGCGATAATTTTGTCGGGCAGTGTATTAAAGTATACGTCATTATTTAGATATTTTAGAATTTTTGGTGTATTTAAATCTAATAATTAAAAAAAAACTAGATGTCTTTATAATTCATGAAAAAAATATTCAGTCAGTTTCACTTCTTTTGATTCCCATTTAAGTTTTACACAAAATTACCTAACCTCAACAATAATTCTTATAATAATTATAATTATTGATATATTTGTATATTTTTTATTAACATGTGGAAATACATATATATATATTATATATATATATTTTTTAAAGGCTTAACTTTTAAACTTTTAAACAAAAACGAATCGCATCCATGTCATTTAAGAAAAAATGTTTATAATTAACCCAGCTATCATCTGACAAAGTTTGCCATAGAGCTTGTAGAGCACCCTGTATAAGATATTTAAACCTTTCCAAATCATGATGTATAAACAAAACAAAATGAAATGTTTATACCTATAGGTACCTAAATTCAACAATACTTTTAAATTATTATAATATAAATAATAATAATTTAACGATAATAATTATCGTTAAATTATAATAATTATAATTATTATTATTATAATAATTATAATTCAACAATATTATTTAATATTTAAGTATACCTACGTCATTATTTAAGAATATTGTTAAGTTTAAGTATTGTCTAGGTATTTTAAATCAAATTTGCCTATAATTATAAATTTAGACAATATTTTTAAATAATGACTTATAATTAATTTAATAATAATTATTATTATAATAATTTTTATTATAATAATTATAATTCAACAATATTATTAAATATTTAAGTATACCCACGTCATTATTTAAAAATATAGGTAGGTTAAGTTTAGGTATAGTCTAGGTATTTTAAATCAAATTTGCCTTTAATTATAAATTTAGACATTGGCAACACCGCAGGGCTTCTGATACACAGCGGAGTGTGTCTCTTGTTGTTTATGCACCAACGAACAGTTAACCGCCCCGTCCCGCATTACCGGGCTTCGACTAGCCAGTGTAATGCACCGGGCTTCGCATTGATAGCCGTGCATGTATATATATATATATATATATATATATATATATATATATATATATATACTGTATAATCCATTATAATCCATTAAATACATTCGTCCTTTTGCCAAAATGATCCCACAGCATTTACGTCTTGTTTGGTGCATAAAGCTTAAATAAAATCGTAAATTTGTCAACACATTGTGTTGACCAGTTATGTTATTTATGCTTACCCAATAATAAACTAATTGGTGAAAGGTATAAATCGTAAAAGCTTGGTGAGAGGATTTAAATATAACACAGTTTCTGTGGTATGTCCTTTTATGCATACGCTAGCGGACCCAGCACCTCAAGAAGATATAACCACATGGACTCCAGCTCCGCAGGACACCGAAAACCACCACAAAGATGAAACCACTATGAAGAAAGTAGTGGCCGTCAACGAAGAAGAATATAAAGCTTCTTCCAGCTGCCAACCAGAGGTATGAAAAAAACTTGACCTCAAAAAGTATACTAAAAGTATTTTGTCTTTTAGGACGGTTTTTGTTGTGTTATCTCGATGTACGACGGTGTGGTTCTCTACAATACTCCAAGTTTGACCTCCGTGCTGGGGTTTCCCAAGGATATGTGGTTGGGTCGTTCTTTCATTGACTTTGTACACCCGAAAGATCGCGAAACCTTTTCTAGTCAAGTTACCACTGGTATAGCATTGCCACTTGTTGATTCTCAGGGAAAATACAAGGACGTGAAGAACTGTTTGTATGTTTGTTTGAGAAAATATAGAGGCTTAAAGTCTTCAGGGTTTGGTGTCGTAGAAAAAGCTGTGTCTTATCAGGCTTTTCAGCTTACTGTTAGCTTTAAACATATTACCGATGCTCCCGAGGCTAAATATGTAAATAATACTGGTGGGATGTTTTTGGTTGTTGTGGCGGTACCAGTTTACTCTTCCTACAAAGGTAATAAAATAGTTTAAATGTTTAATATTTAAAAAGATTCTCAAACTGATCACTTAAAAAAAACAAATGTTTATTGATGTCTTTCTCATTTTTTAACAGATAAAACCCAGGATAAAATCCACACTTTAAATTTATTTATCTTTAATAGGTCTATAATTTAAACTTAATTATTATCAACACACGTTTGATTAAATATGGCCACTAGAAAATGATTTAGACCATTTGGATTAAGCTATTTATGGCCTAGGCCGTAAAGTATCATTATTTACTACTTTGGATGAGTAATGGACTTTTTTAGATATATCGAACTTTGATGAAATAAACAAAATTGTGCCTGAAATATAAAATGCTGTATGTTATTCGACCAAGAAGGTCTTTTTGTGCTTCGCTCAATTGTAGGCATTCGCTACGCGTCGGCCTTCAAACTTTAGCTCAGCATAAAAATACTCACTTCTTGGTTTAATGACATAAATAACTATTATTTGTAATCCATATTAGCTTTCTATCTTTCTAAGAAAGTTAAACGAGATTCCTTGAAAAGTTCTTAAAGAATACCATTATTGTTATGTTTCTAATTACTATGATATACTTTTAAAAGAAACCATATGTTGACTGACGCATTAAAATATTCTATTCTTAAGCATATTTAAATATACACTAAAGAATAGAATTGCCCCTTTTGAAATAATTTATTATTTAAAAAGACTTAAATATATAAGTTCGTTAAAAACGGCATTTCATTATTATACACTTTATTTCTGTTTTTTTAAATACCTTAAAATTCATTATTTTGATTGTAGTTTTATTATTTCTCTATAGCTTGATTTTTTGTGATTTAGTTCCAGAAGAAACTAGGAAATCAGCTAAATTTGGCATGCGCCACACGGCTGCTTGTATATTCAGCCATGTTGATCCAGATGTGGTGACAAACTTTGGATTTTTGCCTCAGGATATGCTGGGAAGATCTGTATTCGATTTTTACCACCCTGAAGATATGCCTGCTTTAAAAGAAGTTTATGAATCTGGTAAAACAACTAAAACGTAGTTTAAATGCCATACTGAACTTTTATTTTTAGTGATGAGAATGTGCCAAAAAGCAGGATCTGTATTTCGCAGCAAACCCTACAGATTTGCTGTACACAATGGCGGCTTCGTTATGATTGAGACTGAGTGGTCTAGCTTTGTGAACCCATGGTCGAGAAGATTAGAATTCGTAATAGGACTCCACAGGGTTTTGCAGGGTCCACCAAACCCAGACATTTTTAAATCACCTAAAGATTATGAGTATATACCTGAAAAAGTTTTAAAGGAGAGCAAAATAATCCAAGAAGAAATACTTGTGCTTCTTAATGATGTAAGAATATTATTTTAAAAATGTATTTTTTTATGTCACGTATTATTTAGGAGTTATCGAGGCCATCTGAAGCAGCCAAGCACGAGGTTTCGAAGCGCTGCAAAGATCTGGCAAATTTTATGGAATCCTTGATGGACGAAGTAAATAAATCAAATTTACAATTAGACTTACCGCAGGATCCTGTTCCTACCATTTCGGTAAGTGTGAAGAAAAGGGTAAGTGTCACCGTTTTTTATTTTTATTTATGGCATACTAGTTATATCAGGTGACGGAAGTTTATAAATTATAATAATATCTTAATCAATTAATAAAATTGATTTTTATTATTTCAATGTATGCAATCGCTATTTAGGTCTTTTTAGCACTTAATTGGCGTAATATTGCGGTCCAAATCTTAGCTAAAAAGATTTTTAAATAATTATATCTTTTTATTTACGATAGAAAGAAACTTTGGTGTTGATTTTTATATATAATATATTGATTTTAATAAATTGTAAAATGATCATCGTTAATTCACTATTTAAATAATTAATGCAGTATTTAAGCTTGTAAAGGTAATGGATCATTTTTCATTTTAAATCATTAAAACGATCATTTAACATACCATTAACCCTTATCTTATAAGTTTTAGCCCCGGCGGCAAGCTGAAACGTAAGTGGTAAAAGTTTTAATCTCATTAATTAATTTTTCTAGTTTTTTTACTAATAAACAACCTAATATAATAAATCTAACCTGAATTTTAAGATATGATTCATCTTTTATTTCCAAGTTTTCCATTATTTCTCTGTAAAACAATCATTGTAAATATTAAACATTTTCTAATTTATATATATTCTTTGGGCTTTTAGGAAAGAGATTCTGTAATGCTTGGTGAAATTTCACCGCATCATGATTATTACGATAGTATATCATCTTCAGAGACGCCTCCTAGTTATAACCAACTAAATTATAACGAAAATATTCAAAGATTTTTCCAAAGCAAACCTAAAACCACTGTGTCCGATGAAAGTAATGGTGTATTGCAAGGGAATATCGATACTGACCAGGATGGAAAAATATCTTCTGCAGCTCAAGATTGCACCAACAATCAGTAATAAAAACTTAACACTATTTTACAAATATAAAAAAATACATTTAGTGCCGATAAACTTTTCTTAAACATTTTGGCCAGCTTAACTAAAAAGTCGTATTTTCTTTTTTGAGATATAAATTTTTATTCATGTGTTTTTCGAAGGTAGCTTTACAATTTGCATTGTATTTTAAGTTATAGACGGCCAATATAGTTGCAAAAGTTGTCAAATTAAACCTTATCTACTGGCCGACAAATATGACTTTTTTAATGCTCAATCAGGCAAAAATATCAAAAAAAGTCGTATTTTTAAACAAAATTAAGCATTATTATAATATTCAGTTTTTTATAATGGTAATCATAGAACGTATAATGATTGTTGTATAACAAATTAATTGCCTTTTATTTTTACATTATATACTATAGGTCAAACTACTATACCTACATATTTACGCTTTACTTTTATTGTTTACTCATAAGTACCATAAGAAATTATCATGTTTTATTTTTTAGAAAATGCTTGTCGCCTGTTCAAAACAGTGGAGCATCTGGTAGTGGCAGTGCTGGTAACTTAAGTTCGGGTAGCAACCCCAATATAGAAAGTGGTACCACCAGTGGTACAAATACATCTACTAACGATTCTTATAAACCACCACAATTAACGGAAGCATTGTTACTAAAGTAAGTTATTTTGTAGATGAATTTTCTTTATTAAGAACATCCTTCATTTAAGATTAAATGTTCTTAGGCATAACGAGGACATGGAAAAAATCATGATAAAACGTCATAGGGAACAAAGATCTAGCATTAAAGATCGTGAGAATAAGAAGACATACCATAAAACCCTAAAGCAAGTTGGTATTAAAGCAAAAGATAATAAAAACGAGGTACAAAATATTTAAAAAATATTTATCGAAAAATTTATTTCAAATATTTTTAGGGTGGTCATCATATCCATGGTGTAAAACGCAGTGGATCTCATTCTTGGGAAGGTGATAGTCATAAAGTGTCAAAGCACAATCATCAAAGTGGTGTTATAATAAATAAAGAGGATCAAACTCATTCAAATAATAACGGATTTGCTTCTAAGCCTGTAAGTGGATACAATCAAAACGCCACTAGTAATAATACCAATTGCAATGAGAATATCTACCAATCAACAGTACTTAATATAATTTTAAGTTAATATTTTTAACTAATAATTTAATTTCTAGATAAATGATGTAAATCTTTGGCCCCCATTCTCTGTAACTGTCACTCCAATGAACAACACACAATCTTGCAGTATTTCTTCAACCCCAGGTGTCAGTCAGGGAGGTTTCGCTACTAGTATGCTACCGGTTTATTACATACCAACCCATCAAAGCACCCCTATTGGACAAGAATTTGTCGATCCCAATTCAAGATACCAAGTTCAATATATGCCTGGAATGATTTACAACTACAATCCCATATTCCCAGCATCACCCATAATCTGCTCGCCCCTTCCAGTGCTCCCTGTCACGGTGGCTCCTCCAATTACCCCTATAAACCCTGATAGTCGCCAAATGAGCAACCTGCAGCCTAACATAGACAACCATTTATCCTGCAACCAGCCTGAGCACAAACCCAGCCCGCCCAGTGGCATCAAAGGCCCCCAATTCCAAAGACCAGCCTCACAAGCTACTTCTGTAAAAGCGGAACCAGGAAGCGTCATGGGGTCAATTGCATCGGCCAGTGTGGCAAACAAAGTAAGTGCAGAAGATGTCTAGAAGGTTTCTGGATACATCAGTCATTTAATTTCTACTAATACTTTGGGTAGTTTCTTATAATACTAATTTTATAGGCATTATCGGACTATTCAAGAAAAGATTTGGGCTTACAGTCAGTTTGCTCGCCTGGTTCGCCTATAGTAAGCCCGCCGGATGGTGAAACCAATATGAAACATTTTAATTTAACAACAAAGGTTAATTAATAATAAATGATTTTTTGTGTATCTGTATTGCATGGTTCATTTCATTCATTAAAACATGTTTACAAGATGGGCCCGAGTGTTAAACATATGTTTCCAAGATATTTTTTGACACTTATTATGAATTTGATCTTTATCTTTTGTTGTCAAATATTTATTATTTATCAATAATAATAAATTATTGGTATTTTTGTATGCAAAAAACCTTTTTTATTATTATCAGTGAATTTTAAAGCCATAAGAAACCATTTTCGATATTTGTTACCCTTTAAAAGGATAGAACCAAAGATATAAAAATCGCATGTTTTCTTTAATTTTAAAGGAAATGTTGCCGTTAAGTTTTATCGTATATAATAGGTACCACTAGTGGTAAAATTTTACCGAATCAATTTTTTTATACGAATCGGAAAGTGACATTAATTTTTAAGACCACGAGCCGCCAGGCGAGTGGTTTTAAATTAATGCCATGAGTGAAATTTACAAGGAAAAATCTTGAGTAAATAAAAATTTTAGCACGAGTGGTATTCGGCAAGACTATTTCACAAATATTTTTTTAACTAGAACTGCCGATTCAATTTCTGTATGATTTTTTTGACCAAAACGTATATCTTTTTACATTTTTATTTTAGAATTAGAAACGTCAACATTGACAATTATTTTTCAACCAATTGGTTGCTATGCAACTCGTTTAAACGAGTGTTTAGTCGTAAGTAATATCATAAGGGCATTTAATTTTTCCGAAAAGAATCGAAAAAACACGTTGCTAAGTTATATTTTAACAAAAAGCATGAGTGCTGGTGGCAACAAAAATCCGAGTCGAAGAGGAGGATTTTTGCACCTGCACGAATGCATTTTATTAAAAAATATTACTTAGCATTGTGTTTTTTCGATTTTTTTCACAGGAAAAATTAGATGCCCGAATTGTATTTGACAAGACTATTTCATGAGTAACAGTTAACAATTAAAATATAAATTGCAATTTTTGGTGACAACAGCTGTCAAGTTTTGCCGCGGGTAAACTCGAATAAACTGCTGACAGGTGCTGTCACACAATTTTTTCACCTAGAAACCATTTGTTATTCAAAATTGCGCGTTTGTGGTTGGTGGAAATTAAGACGAGGGAAATAGTCGTAAGTAATATCATAAGGGCATTTAATTTTTCCGAAAAGAATCGAAAAAACACGTTGCTAAGTGATATTTTAACAAAAAGCATGAGTGCTGGTGGCAACAAAAATCCGAGTCGAAGAGGAGGATTTTTGCACCTGCACGAAAGCTTTTTGTTAAAAAATATTACTTAGCATTGTGTTTTTTCGATTTTTTTCACAGGAAAAATTAGATGCCCGAATGGTATTTAACAAGACTATTTCATGAGTAACAGTTAACAATTAAAATATAAATTGCAATTTTTGGTGACAACAGCTGTCAAGTTTTGCCGCGGGTAAACTCGAAAAAACTGCTGACAGGTGCTGTCACACAGTTTTTTCACCTAAAAACCATTTGTAATTCAAAATTGCGCGTTTGTGATTGGTGCAAATTAAGACGAGGGAAATAGTCGTAAGTATAATCATAAGGGCATCTAATATTTATATATTAACAAGAAGCATGAGTGCTGGGGGCACCAAAAATCCGAGTCGAAGACGAGGATTTTTGCACCTGCACAAATGCATTTTGTTAAAAAATATTACTTAGCATTGTGTTTTTTCGAAAAATTATATGCCCGAATGGTATTTGACAAGACTATTTCATGAGTTACAGTTAACAATTAAAATATAAATTTCAATTTTTGGTGACAACAGCTGTCAAGTTTTTCCACGGGTAAACTGCTGACAGGTGCTGTCATACAGTTTTTTCACCTAGAAACCATTTGTTATTCAAAATTGGGCGTTTGTGATTGGTGGAAATTAGGACGAGGGAAATAGTCACCTAAATAGTAGTTTTATCGCTGCAAAACTAAAAAAATCACTCGATTTCTGCCATATATACTATTTTTTTAATAAAACTTTACGATATAAGTCGAGGCTAAATCGGCTGTAGTTACTTTTTAGGCAATTTTTAAAAGAATTACGACCTTCCATTACATCATGAATCTGCAGATTCTGTTTTTTAGATTTGTTTTAATTTTTATTTTAGATTTGTTTTAATTTTTATTTCATATAAAAAGTGGTTGGGTTTTTTTAAAAGTAAATATAGAAAAATCTGCCTTTTATATAATTCAAAATAATATACGTAATTTAAATGTCAATACGGCGCGCCGTCTTTAAAATATTACCGAATATTACTTATAAATGCTAAAATCTAACTGTTTTCGCATTTTTTTGGATTTTAATATTTTAAAATAAAATAAAATTTGAGGATTTTAGATTACCTTCAGAGTTTTGAGCAGCTTTTTAACCAATTCCGTACTCAACAGGGCCGGAATAAGGAAAAACGGGGCCTGGGGCTAAAAAATGGGGGGGGCTCAAAGTTTTAATAATAAAGATGTATTACTTATAAAAATATTAATATACCTTTATTTAAAATTTAGTAAATAATTGGAAAATAATAAAACCTAAGATCAGTGTTTAGTAAGTTCACACGCTCATATTTATGAAAAGCGAACAATACAGAGCGCTCAAAAATTAACCAAACGATTGTTTTAAATTTTAAAACTTTTTATTAACCATTGGTTGAAAAACTTTCTATAAAAATCATTTTCAGAAGAATTTCAAGAAACATGATAAAACTCTTGCCATCTTGGGTCCCATTTATAAACTTGTGTGATTCACCTTTACTTTTAAAAAACATTTGCACGACATCATTAAAATGCAAAATCTGTGCTTTTTCAATATTTCATCTGTTTGTCCAAATTTAAGCCTGAGTTTAAAACCAATTATTTTGATTTACAGATAATGAACTTTCATCACATATCTAAAGCAATACATAAAAACAATTACCTTAACTTAACTGGTCAAGTTAAGGTAATTTTGTCAGTTACTCATTATCATATCATCGACGTATATTATCAGGTTTTGTTGTAATAAATCAAATATCCGCTTACTTGACTTCAAAAATTTAAACAATTCTTTGCTATACACCTTACTTGAGGTACACTACACTAGGTAAGATTATCTTTTTAAGTATCTTAACCATTAGTTTTATTTAGTTTTTATTTGGATTAATTTTTTATGTGTAGATAATTATAAAATAAAGAAATTTTTATTTTTACTTTACATTAAACAAATTAAAGTATTTAAATTAGGATATATGTACCAGCGGCCGTTTTTGCCTATATAGATTAATGAAATCATAATAACTTATTATAAAAATTGTCAGCTATTGAAAAAGTTATGTATATAATTCCCACATTTGTATTTTATACCTTAAAATATGCAAAACCATACATATATTATTTTCTCAGAATTGTAAAATGTTTGCAGTACTTACATATTTGTTTTAATTTTAATAAGTGTTGTATTTTTGTGCCTTGTCTACTTTAAAATTTTTATTTAAAATCTTTAACAGTGGTTGCAAAAATTAATGTCTTTTATTACCACCAAATTTGATAACTTACTTTTAATCCAAGAGTAACTTAAACATGCTAATTTTAGTTTCGTTTTGCAGATACATGAAAATATTGAAAAAAATAGGAAAAATACCAGTTACCACCATCAAAATATTGACGAAGGAAGCAGCTATTCTTCTTCATATTCTTCTTTCTTAAAAACTGACACCGGATCTGGTTCCAATGACGATTCTAACAACATGGACTCAAAAACAAACCAGACAAATAGTGATGATGTAAGTAAAAGAAATACAATTTAACTTTTTTTTAAACAAATTATTTATTTAATTTATAATATACTAATTTTATGGTTATTTTTGTTATAGAATACTTGGAAAAGTAAAAAATACTATCCTTCAAGGAAAAAGGATCCACCATGGTTGGAAACTGTTACGGTCACACCTGATCTTATCTATAGGTACCAAATGACTGTCAAAGGCATCGAGGATATTTTGGAAGCTGATCTAAATACTCTTAAGGAAATACACCAAGTAAGTATATTATGGAAAAATAAATCGCCCTTTATAAGCGCGACCCCTAAAAGTTATAGCCTAAAATTTAATGATTTTCGATCGAATTTAACGTTTTTCGTAAGGTCAAATTCTTCTAGCCACCCTATTAAATACACTGGGACAGGGATGGCGAACCTATGGTACGCGTGCCATGAGTGGCACGTTTTAAATTTTTCTTTGAACGTTTTGAGAACAAAAGTTGTTCATCTTATATAATTTGCGTATTTTATTCCAATTAAAACATAACTTATAACTAAACTCCGTAAAATTAAATGTCTATGTTAGCTTTGTAATCATAAGCGACAAATTTTACAATTTTTAATAAATATCGCTAGAATTTTATCTAGGTGTTAAATATAAACAACGATAAAACTTCTTTGTTTGTAAAGCTTTTAATTTATAATCTTGAATATTTTATTACAAAGTTTAACGTAAGAATAAGCTAGATTTTGATACTATACAGACTTAAATATCTTGAACAATAATGGTTTTAAAAAGAACCATGAATTTTAAAACAAAACGGGTTATGTTTATAAAAAACAAAAATGCCATTTTCTTAAAATTTACAACATAGAACCTTTTTAGTAATTTAATGGTCCAAATAAAATAATTCTATTTACAATTTTTATGAACATCTATTTTTAAGTAGGCAGCTATGTTAGATTTTGATCTTTTATTTCTTCTAAATCATACGGTATACCGTACGATTTAGAAGAAATAAAAGATCAAAATCTAACATAGCTGCCCACTTAAAAATAGATGTTCATAAAAATTGTAAATAGAATTATTTTATTTGGACCCTTAAATTACAGATATAATCTAATGAAAAAAAAACGAGACTAAATTTATTTCTTAAAATATAACAATAAATAAAAAAATGTCTAAATAATGATTTACTTTTTTATAATGTTTTTGTATACTTTCATCTTCATAACACTTACAAAAATTTACTTGGGACACGTTACAATTTGAAATTTTTTTTTATAGTTATTTGGCACGCACACTAAAAAAGGTTCGCCATCCCTGCACTAGGGTAATTAAAAAAATCTATTTTTTTTTACTTTACGAAAAATTGGTTGCTGGGCACCTCAAAAGAAGCCTGTCTACGTATAAGCTCTTACTATTAAGAGTAAGACCCTTATTGCAATTGTAAATTTTCACATTAATCCTACTAGAAAAATGTTTTTCCCAGGATTATCCTAGGAAAAACATTTTGTATTTCACTAATAAATGAATATAAAACTAAGCCCAATAAACCTTGCCATTAAAAAGATAAGTAATAGATTAAATAAATCAAAATTATCAAGCATTTAAAATAAACCAAAATGGACTACTTGGCAAATTTTACCGACTATTAGAAAATGAAAAAAAAATGGTTGTTTTAGCAACATCAGTGGCGTAGCTAGCCTCGAGGGGGCCCCGTTTAAAAAATCCCCTTATAGGGGAAAAGCTGCTGGCAAAAAAATTTCTGGGTGTCACGCCCAAAGTCTATTTTGGACAAACAAAAAATTTTTTAGTTTATCATTTTTTTGCATTTACCAATTTTTTATAATTTAATAAATAATATATGTATAAATAGCTTTTTATGTACAGGGCAATTTTAAAATTTGGTCTGGTTTTAGACATTTACCATTTTCAACATCTTTTAAAAGGTTTCATTATAAAATAAAGTCTAGTCATTTGAAATAATTGTAACGCTAATAATTATTTATAATTTGCTATTAATATAACCTATGATAATAACAAGCAAAGCCTAGTCAGTATGCGGCGCAGCGCACAGAACCAGAAACTTGATACATAATATACTATTTTCCACTCCCACCTTCAAAACACCAATTATCGTACCTGTTTCCATAAACCCAAGTGATATTTTAAATAAACATTGACAAGCTATCGCTTCATGGCGTTTAGTCACGGGGTGAACTTAGCTTTAAGTTAGTTGATAGTTGTCAAATTCAGACAATTAATATAATAATAAAATAAAGTGCCCTTTTTGTAAAATAATACTAAAATTATTGTATTAATATATAACTAAATAAACACAAACACTATTTTTTGAGTTTCACGAATTTATTATTTTAATTTAATTTATCAACTTATACATTAGTGACATGGAGTTTCATCAAGTAAAGGTCGAAACAATAAAATAATTATTGTATTATCTTATTACACAAATACAAAAGTATTAAACAGTTTATATGAACATTGTACCTACTGACCTTTTAATTTCGACGGCAGTAACTAGATTTAACTTAATTTCGGGTGGAGACTGCACTGTGGAGTGCCAATAAAACATTTTATTTACTTTGACTATAATCGTATAATTAGTATAATTGTATAATAATAATTATACAACTTCTTCCGGTATGCCCACCGTAGTTTGTGTTGGAACATCTTGGTAACGGCAAGCATTTTGATCTATGCATAGATTTATGAATTACACTGCGCCCAATTGCGTTATACTTTTTAGATTTAATGTACATTATTAATTATTTTTTAACAAATATAGAAATAACATAATAAAATACGTATTTTATTATGTTATTTATATATTTGTTAAAAATAATTAATATTTAAAAAAAGTTGGTAAGACATAAAAAACTGCTTTAGTAAGCATAACTGCACCCGAATTAGTAGTACAAAAATCAGCTTTATCTTAATTATTTACATAAAATCCACTGATTATTTAAATAGAATAATATATTATACAAAACCTTTTTTTTTCAAAACGCCAAAAAATTTTGCACTTAAATTGACAAATGGCCCTTTCCGATACAAAAAATGTCTAAATAAAAAATATTTTTTCAGCCTGTTTTGGTGAATGACCAACTGAACCAACTATATATCGAAATGGAGTTGGAAGGATTATCGAGAAAATTGACTTTAGAAGAAGGAATGACTTCGAGTAGTAGCAGCGACGAAAATTGCGCAAATACTTCAAAGGTAATTTATTAGCTATTTAAGTTTAGTTTAGAGTTAACTTCGATTAAAACTTTCAGATGCCATGAAACGATACGTTGTTGCTTCTTTAATGAGTTGTGTGTATCGGTATTAAATCGGAACCAATACTGTTTTAAAAAGGATTTTGGTTTTAAAGTGCTTAACTCCACTTATATTTATTTAAACAAGTCTGACAAAATGTTATGCTTTTAATTTTTTTTGTAGGGTGGTAGATTATTTAAGTTGATTTCCAAGCAATATCATTTAATAAAGATAAAGATTCTTTATCTAAAAAGTTTCTATCTAAAAAGTTTTATCTTGAATTCAGGTACTGAAGTGATTGATTATGGCATATGCACATAAAAATCAAAAGGTAGCAGATAAAAACTTTGATAAGGCCAGTAATTAATTGTTAGGCGTTAGGTATTGACCGAATTCAATATTCACTGTGATTTGGGACCAATCGGGTTTTAAATTTGGAGAATCTTTCTCTCACGAGGGCTAATCCTAAAATTCGACATCAGACGGATTTAAACTTACTTTATACTTTTAATAATTGTACATTTCATTTATCGTTTAACAAATAAATTTGGTTTTAATTTTTAAAAACATTACAAATTAAAGGTAATTTTTTTATGCCATTCGGCCCAGAAGGTGTGCTTTAACATTATTTAGTCCATTGTCTACTATAATAAAATTAAAATGTTGCTAAAATTAAATTAAATTGTCAGATTTTTTAAATAGGTAGGTATATTTACATTATGGAAGCAACTAGTATGACAAAACAGTTTGTATGCACCTCATACATCTACATTAGGGTGTCCCTTATTTTTATTTTTTTTACGCATACCCTCTAATTATATTTATTACTTGTTTATATACTCCCAGTAAAAATTTCAGCTCATTCTATAAACGGGAACTCGTGCCGACTTGCATCTAAACCCTCCGTTAGCCAACGTTAGGCGCGCGCGTTATTTTGTAACACGAAACACTTTAAAAAGAAGATAAACTTTATGACTGTATTTTTCTAAAGATTTTATTAAATATGATTACTAATTAATATTATTGCTTTTGTTTCTATCATTTGTTTCACTAATTTAGTTGATTTTATCCCTTAAATATATTTATTTCCACCTCCTTAGTAAATGACATTTTATAGGTTAATTTTGTTGTTTTTGTATCCAAGTAAACGATACATTATGGAAACAGACCTGTAAAGTTTTACAGGCTTGTAGAAAAGCAAGTTATGAAATGAAATGACACATTTGACACAATAATTGAAATTTTAAATTTAAAAATCGTTATCTAAAGGTGCAAATTAAAGTTTGTACGTGTCATGCTTTGCAATTAATCTTTACTAGGCTCACTGGATTATGGGGTTCGCTCCTGCGTCGCTCACCCCACAAACTTCGAGCTCGCCCGTAAAGATTCATTTACAAAGCTTGACACGTAAATAACTATAATATACTAATTAGTATTGCTAAAATATACTGTTATATGAAATTTCAGCTTTTTATAAGCATTTCTTTTCTTGATGTCCTCCCAAAAATATTTTAGACAGTTCAATAAGTTTTCGGTAGTCATCTCTCACAATAGACTCTTTTAGTTATTTAGAGTAAAACCCATTAAGTTTATCAATTTCAGAGTTTACGGCCTATTCAATAGACCCTTCCGGGTAACTAGCCACTCCCTGTGAAAATATACATTTTTATCAAAGTATACACATAAATAAAACTATATTTTAACATTTGTCAATAATTTATAAAATAAGGGTCACATAATAACAAACACAAAATGACTTACGATCGAAGACCTCGCGACCAACCGTGTTACAAAATACCGCGCGCCTAACTGGCTAACGGTGGGTTCAGATGCAAGTCGGCACGGGTTCCCGTTTATAGAATGAGCTGAAATTTTTACTGGCAGTATATAAACACGTAATAAATATAATTAGAGGGTATGCGTAAAAAAAATAAAAATAAGGGACACCCTAATCTACATAGACCCTTCGTAAATACATATATATATATATATTATGTGCATATGCCATAATAGGCCTACTTTAGTGTTGATGACAATTAAGTTTTATTTATAGAACCCGTAAAGATAATAAAAGTACATTATAGACCAGGCGGAGTAAGCTTATATTATTTTCGTTGTAACCTCAACTCGAGGGCTATGGCGAACGGCAGCTTTTCAGCGGAGAGATAGGTCGAATGGCAAATGTTGTTTTTTGATACTTACGTGTCTACAAAATATATTTACTAAATTTAAATAAAGGCAATTTAAAATTGGGCGCCAGTGTCTTATTATGGCCAGTTGTTAAAATCCAAGTAAGTCAGACACAATCTTACTAAAGATTAAGGGTGGTTATTAAAAGTCAAGTTTTAAAAAAATAAATCAGTTATATTTGTTTCACCGATGTAGATCACTTTTCATTTAATATTAAACATTTGTTTGATTTAAAATTTTGGTGCACCTTTATATGGCCATACACGGTTTACAAAAACCAAAGTCTAATAGACTAAATTAATTGGTAAAATATTATCGATGATACAAAAAAAATATATTTAAAATAACTACAATTTAAAAGTTAAAGACTATGTCGAACTCTCGACTCAAAAATACACAAACGTATAAGGAGTGTAGTGCACGTTAACATTAATATTCAAAATTTGGTACGACCTGATCGTAGTTAGGGCCCTGGTAGTTTGTGTCTCCGAATGGTTTGGCTTCCGATGTTGAAGTCTCCTACCATGTCAGATTAAACAGGATGGCTTTTCAATAACGTAAGAACTTGCCATTATCCAAAACAAGTTCAGGGTAAAAAACCATTCCTTCACAACAAATCTAACATAAAAAGTCTTACAAAAAACTCCAACATAAAAAAACTATACTCCATCTTAAAAACCCTTAAAAGAAATACGAACCCGCTTTAGCACCCTACAAAATCCGTTGACATTAGCTTACCCTTATTTTAAGGAGTTTTTAAATTAAAGACCATTTAAGGACTAGGTCAACAAAAAGTACGTTGGAAAATCACGAACACCTAAAATGGAGACCGCGTGGTTAGGAATATTCGACCACTATTTTAAAAGTTATCAACTCACCTAGATCTTTCGTATAACACAATTAATGCTTTAACCGGCCCTGAGCCATTAAACCAGGAGAATTACTACACATCTTTGGAATTCTATCCAAATTTTAAGCCAACGCTTACTCCCAACTAAACGGTTTCAGTTTAAAACGGAAAAGGCAAACGTAAAACTTAAGATTATTTAAACAAAAAAAAAACACAGTGTTGCCAAAGTTATAGTTATAAAAGTTATAAAAGAGTGTTCGTGGTTGCATACTATCAAAACACGGTAATAAACAAAATAATAAAAATAATTAAATTCTTTTGGAAAGAGGCAACTAAACAAATATCATTATTAAAAATATACTTAACAATTAGTCAAACTAAAAATAAACCACTTAACAGTTCACATCTATACTGTTCTAGATGTACAAAAAATAATAAAATAAAATCAATGGGTAACTGTCAAAATGACGGTTACATCGTAAAGTATTACATAATGCTAGTTACTAGCAGCTAGTATGTCTTTTAACCTTTCACTCGGGCTTTAAGATAAAGTCATACAAAAATCTAAGTGCGTTAACATGACATGTTAACGCACTTAGATTTGTTAAACATGTATGTAATTTGGTCGCCAGTTATCATAACCACCACGCAAAATTACGAAACCTTAAATCGTTTTCCTTACTGTAATTTTAAAACCTAAAGTTACTAATATTCCTTCAAAAATAGTTGCTTATCATTGATAACAAATTTAAAATGACCAAGGAGAATTTATAAATGTTACTTCTCCTTGTTCATTAAAAAAAAAAAAAAATCTAATGTGCAGGTAAGTCTCTCGTAGGTATAGAATGACCAATTTGTTCACGATGTGGAATCGTGACTATTATCATATGCAAAATCACTTGACCACAATGAGCAGCTTAAATTAGGACATCCTTATAGGATAACCTTTTATAATATACTGCAAGAATAAGATAACTCAATTTTTTTTACATGAGTACATTTTTTAACTTAATTGTTTCTGCAACTAAACTACAAGCATAACCGAAATGGTATAACTCCATTTTTTAGTAAATAGGCCCAATGAAAATAAGTTAAAAATTCAAATTACTAAAAACAGTGTTTTGGGAGTTATCTGGTTTTTGCAGTAATCCGACGATATATCCACGCAGTTTTTACAAAAATAAATACATTTTTTTTAGGTTTTCTTATTTATTGTTTACCTTTTGATAAAGATTATTATTATTATTGGTAAGAAATTACATATATATGCTGCTTTTAAAGTAAAATAAATAAATCACAGCGATGAACAAAATTTAATGTTGTACCTAATTAATAATTATAAAACCATTAAAAGTATTATTACTTACCAATAAAAATAGTGATTCTATAAAAAGCTTTTAGCTTTTACCAAAATCGACCCTTAATCTGATTTTACAGTATTATACTATTAGTCCGGTCAATCTAGACATTCGAAGGTACATAAATTTACAACAAGCTGAAAATCAGTAAAATTGTTCAGAATATAATTATAAATAAAATTTTAAAGTTCCCCATCATTCCCCTGTATGGAAAAATTTTTATTCAAGGTCAAAGGTCAAAAAAATGATTTTTCGTGATTTTCAGCAAAACGGTAAGTTTCATCATAAAAATACACCAAACAAAAATTGTAGATCATAAAATAATCTATAAAAAATGTATTAATACTTTTTTTCTACGAGCCACCGTTTCTGAGATATAACGATTCGAAAAGTTGTAAAAGTTATAATCGCCATAATATTCACACGTTTCCACGTCACCTATGAGGTAGTTTACTAAGCGCGTTTTTAAACGTGGTTTCCCCAGTAGGCCTATTTCACGGGTCACTTGTGATCCTGTTTAATTTGAAACTATTGCAAAATAACGGAAATTAGCAATGATTGGAAAAGATAATAGCGATGTAAATTTAAAAAAAGTACTGAAGTTTATTCGTCTGATTCGTAACATTTAAATTCTTTTTCTTGTTCTTCTTGATCTTCTTCTTGTTCTTGTTCTTCTTCTTGTTGTTCTTCTTCTTCATCTTCATCCTGGGTTCAAGTAAATTGCGTCAATAGCGATGTATCGCATCTCACCTCGTTGGAATTAAATGAATCCTCCACTGTTGGTGATTCAACATTAGAGCACGACCTGCCTTGACAATTCGTACATGCCAGAGAATAAAACAGTCCGACTTTTTTGCAACCACATTTAGCACTGCATCCCTTTTTGCAGTTGCAAAAAATTGTGTTCAGCAGTTTTTCCGGCGCAGGTGGGAGTAAAGTTTGAACTGGTTCTAATGTGTTGTTGACCAACTTCCAACCCTAGTCTGTAGGATCTAGCTGATAACCAAGCCACACTTGAACATGGTAATATACCCGAAAGCAACTGAGGTTGGAGGAAGACAAGCTAATTGAACTTGTTTTTTACTTTTAGAATTTTTAACGAAACATGCATATCGATACTTATCAAAGCAGGTAGCTTTTTTAGGAGCTCCGTATATAGAAAGAAGAAATCGAATGCCGATAACTTCTTGTCCCGAAGACCCTTTTCCTCGAGTTTGGACGAAAAATCTCCGCTCGTTCGAAAGTTAAGCGAAGACAACGGAACGTGCCAAATTTGACGAAAAAATCGAAAAAAAGTGGACTTGGACCTTTTCGACACCGGAAAAATTAGGTCCGCGGATAGGTCTCGTGGGCAGAAAAAAAGGATGCAAATTTCAACCTTCAACGGCCTCCGAGCTACGGCGCTTAGAAAAAAAGGATATACAGACAACGGAAAAAATAAATATTGCAAACGGGTCGAGAGAAATTTTTGAAATTGGCCGAACGAAATACACGAATCGACGGGAAAAATACCAAAGTTTGACATACTAAAATATGAGCTTCATCGAATAAAAACTAATCGGCCAGAAGCCCGTTTAATTTTTGTTGGGTATTTAAAAAAGTTAACCAATTAAAATCCTCGAAATCAAATCGATAAGGTGGCAATGACAGGTGGCATATGACAGGGACAAATGACAGGTGACAGATGACAGGTGACAGGTGACAGGTGACAGATGACAGATGTCAAGTTGACAGATGACAAATAACTAATGACAGTAGACAGATTACAATTGACAGATAACACATAAGGTGACAGAAGACGTGAGAAATATAAAATTCATCTTTAAAATTACTACCCAGTTTAGGTGGAGTGGTCGCGGCGCGAGTCCAACCCGCAGCGAGAACCAACTATAGCAGGTCAAACAATTGAACATAAGACAGATAATCTGTCATCTGTCACAGATTTTGTCTCAAGGTTACAATGGCGTATAAATTAATTAATTTATACCCAGTTCCTTAAGGGACTGGGTTTTATTTCACTTGATATTCTTATAGTTATAACTTATGTAGGTAATACCTACTAGGTATACTTTATATTTTAAGTGTAAGTTAAAATGACCTATAGAAAAATATTTTAACATAAATTACAACTCTAGAGATACGTGGCGTGCATATTATGACGATTACAACTTTTCGAATCGTTATATCTCAGAAACGGTGGCTCGTAGGAAAAAAAGTATTAATACATTTTTTATAGATAATTTTATAATCTACAATTTTGTTTAGGGTATTTTTATGATAAAACTTACCGTTTTGATAAAAATCGCGAAAAACTAATTTTTTTGACCTTTGACCTTGAATAAAAAATTTTCCATACAGGGGAATGATGGGGAACTTTAAAATTTTATTTATAATTATATTCTGAACAATTTTACTGATTTTCAGCTTGTTGTAAATTTATGTACCTTCACTGTTATTTTTTGGTCTAATTTGACCGGACTATATGTATTCATGTATAAACTTAAACAAATTATTTTTAAATCCATTTGAAACCTGTAATTAAAAAGCTATTATAGTTAAAATTTATAATTTTCAGCCAAAAAAGAAGAGAAAATCCTTGAATTCCCTAATGATGATTTACGAAGAAAATGCTCCGTTTCCTCCACCAGACCACTATTAAAAGGTATCAAGACCATAACAATCTCAAAGACTCGATTATATTTTTTATACTATGCCACTTACAGCAGTTTGTATTACTATTTATTTTTTTATTATTAACCCGAAACCTTTTTGGAGTACATTTTTGATGTCGTAAAAATAGTGTTTTTAAACTTTTATAACATGTATTTGTATTTACTCTTAATTGTTTATAGTATGATTTAGATAATTGTATAAACTTTAAGTTATTCGTTAATAAATAAGTATGTATAAAATAATACTATATTTTATTTCCCTGTATACTTGTTTGCGTTTTTTATATAATAATACACGATATGTTTAAATTTAAAGGCCAATGATTCTTAAAGTGGTTTTTGGAAAATGTTAGAAGTCCTCGGGCAATCTGGCGACAAACATACGGGCTTTTGAAGAGAGGTAAAGCAAGTTTTCACCCCGGATGTGCAGCGAAAAGAAAAACAGAACATAGTTGTTATATACATGTTTAAGTTTTGAGCCAAATGCCCCACCTGCATCAGGCGGAAAGTATTGTAAGCACTAGCAATTCTAGAAGATGGATGAGAGATGCTGTAAAAAGCAATGAATGTATTTATTAGTTATTTGAAGTAAAAAATAAAGTAGTTAATAGTGCTGGGTGTTTTATTACATTGAATTAAAAAAATATGCTGGTTGAATAGTTTTTTAAGTAACAGAATGCAATATGTATCAATTAAATATAATCTATTGCAAAATAAAAGCACTGTTAATTCCAACGTCATTGATGTATGCATGGGTGTGCCACAGGGTTCAATTCTTGGCCCTGTGTTATTTACCCTATACATCAATGATCTAGAGCTACATCTTGAGAATAACTGTTTGACCACTCTATACGCAGATGACACATCTCTTATACTGTCAAACAAGAGTAGCCAGATTCTCGAGATGGAATAAAAAAATAATTTAAATTTGTTATCGTCTTGGTTTGCTTGCAATTCTTTGTATTTAAATGCAGCCAAGACAAATTATTTAAGATTTTATACTCAGGGACATGGGTCTAAAGAATCTCTTAATTTAGATCTGTCTATTGATGGTTTTAACATCTCCAGAAAGGACCATTTTAGCTTATTGGGCATAGTTCTTGATGAAAAACTAAATTGGAGTCATCACTGTGACCTTTTAATCTTTAAATTAAGCTCTTTGGTTTATTTATTTAGAAATCTTAGGCAAATATTAGTAATAGAGCAACTATTATGTTTATATCATGCACAGGTTGGTTGTAGAATCCGCTATGGTATTTGTTTTTGGGGTTCATCTACGGGTGCTGAACGTGTATTTGTTTCCCAAAAGCGAATAATCAGATGCATAGCCGGTGTTCCACAGGATTTCTCATGTAGAGAACTATTTAAAAAATTTAAAATATTGCCTGTACCATGTGTTCAAATTTTGGAGCTAGGCATTTATGTATTTTTAAACAAAAGTAAATTCTTAATGAATTCTGATATCCACAATTTTAATACCCGAAAGAAAAATAAACTAAGAACGCAATGTAATCGTCTAAATTTAGGTAAAAAGTCCCCGAACAGTTTAGGCATACATATATTTAATAGACTCCCCTTAGACATTCAAAATGCTAAGTCAATTAACATTTTTAAAACGCTTTTAAAGTCATATTTGTTGTCCAATGTTATTATGGTATAAGTGAATTTCTTTTAATGTAGATTTAGTTCCTGTAAATTATTACTATTATTATGTATATGTACCTATTTTTAATAGTATTTATGTTTGTCTATTTTCAAATGTACCTTGACGTTTTCTACACATGTATATGTCCTAAAAAAGAAATCGGCTAACCTAGGGTTTCCAACCAAATTTTCGGTACAGAGTAAGAGTTTATTTTTTTCTAAGACAAAACAAAAATAAATAATATTTATTTATGTCATTAGTCTGGGAAGTGATTCTGGGAAGATGGATAGATGAGAGATGCTGTAAAAAGCAATGAATGTATTTATTAGTTATTTGAAGTAAAAAATAAAGTAGTTAATAGTGCTGGGTGTTTCATTACATTGAATTAAAAAAATATTTTTGAACTTTATGTCCCAAAAAAGAAATCGGTTAACCTAGGGTTGCCAACCAAATTTAGCTTTAGAAAAAACATTAAAAATTGCGGGACACATTCTAAGTTTTCGGTACAGAGTAAGAGTTTATTTTTTTCTAAGACAAAACAAAAATAAATAATATTTATTTATGTCATTAAGCTGGGAAGTGATTCTTTTTTTTGCTGAGCCCATTTTATCTTCAATGCATCATTTTATTTGTTAAATGAACATTAAACGTAAAATTTTAATAATAATAATTATTAAAATTAAAAAAAATTTTTATTGGTAGAAACAGGTATTTACAGACTAGGAGGTAAAGGGATATTCCGTTATTATTGGAGCTACAAAGTAGTTTAAATTAGAGAATTGGTGGCATTCTAATTAAAATGGTGAAAACTGAATAATTGAACGTCGGGTTTCCAAAATATTCGTGAAAATATATTTTTTTAATAGGACATATTTTTTACATATATTAATAGACAATTTAACTTGAACCAAAAACTTATTATTACTTAACTACACTAAACTTTAAAATAAACAATTAATAATAATATAAGCACTTGAAGTTTCTGTTGATTGTTAAAGTAACCAAATTGTTTCGACTTTTACTTGATGAAACTCCATGTTGAAATAATGTTAATATAAACTACACTGTTTAAAAGTTTCACTGGTGAAACTTTTAAACAGTGTAGTTTATATTAACATTATAACCAAATTAATACTTTATTTTAACAATCATAAAGTTAAAGTGATTATTAATTGTTTATTTTTAACTTTAGGGCCGTGTAAACTTCACAAACTTACAGGGATTTCCATGTATTCCCATTGCATTCCTATGTTATTCCCCTATAATATTTCCAGGCATTTCCAGGTGTGGTTGACCCCACGGTTAAGAGTAGTAAGTTATACAATTATAGTTTTTTGTTCAAAAATAAATTGGCCTTTAAAATTTGTAAAAATATACAGGGTACTCTGTCCCGTGTCTCATTTAAAAAAATGTATGCAATAAATCATATAGGTACTATTCAATACTTTGTAGTTCGTTTAAATAATTATTTAAACATAATATGCTAATTGTTTAGGTTAATTTAATCATATGATTAAATTAACCTAAACAATTAGCAAAAACTCTTATTTTTTGCATCAAAAAGGTATATAACCCCTTAAGTATAAATTTTACTCTCTTTGCTGATGATACCACACTGTCTCTCAGTGCAAATACACAAACTGATGCAGACGTCAGATTGTCAATAGCTCGGGAAAAGGCAGAAAACTGGTTTAGGGCAAACAAACTCTTATTAAACAAAGAGAAAACCTGCAAAATGATGTTTACCATGCGAAAGGTGGAGCAGGAAGTAGAAAAAGTTTTAAAAGTGGCGTACACTTTTCCAAGCCCACCTTTCATACGCCATTTTGGCATAGGGCCATGCATATACAGAGAAGGGCTATTAAGACTGTTGGCAGGTTTAGGCTTTCAGGATGATTGTAAGCAGGCATTTTTGGACATAAATCTTTTAACAGTCCCGTCATTGTACATCTACGAGTGTTTAATCCACATACACAAAAATGGTTCTTAATATGTTTCTCATGGAGACGTTCACCAATATGACACAAGGAAACGAAATAACGTAGCATCAATATATTGCCGCCTGAAAAGGTGTCAAGATGGACCTAAATACTGGGGCATTAAATTTTATAATGTACTACCATCAAAAATTAAAGCTTCAAATGAAAAAGACTTTAAAAGGGCTGTTAAACTAATTTTAATTAAAAAAGTAATATACACCAAAGATGAGTACCTGAACCTCTTTAAATTGTAATTTTATACCAATCTACTTGTAAGCTTATGTGTTAATCTAATAATTTTTATAATATTTATAATTTTTATAATCTGTGTTAATGTAATTTTGTAGTATGTTTTATTCTTTATAATCTAGTAATGTATCTGATATATCTGACTGACTTGTGTATATACATATGTATTTTAACATGAATAAATTTGATTTGATTTGATTTAAACCCTTAAGTGTACACGTGGAAGTTTAAGTACATACTTGGGCAGTGTCGTAACTATAGAAATGGGTGCCCCAGTCCGATTCTCACTAGGGGGCCCTTACCAGGAAATTTTGTTAAATCATTTAAAGTTGTCCCACTCCACCCCCCTGCCTTACACAATAATATTCATTGCTCATGATTTCGAAGCAGGCCCGTTCCTGGGGTATCTGGCGCTTACGTGCAGCATTCTTTGGTGCGCCCCTTTTATATTTAAATATAATACATAATTGAAAGTCCTAAAATTTAAAAAATATATATTTTGGGACAAACTGGCAATATGTAATTGAAAATGTAAATAAAACTGTTTATAAATTACCAAACAAACAAAATCACAAAAAATATTTAGTAATAAAAATACTCTAAAAACAAAAAAAAAACATGAGTATGAGTATGAGTATAAGAGACGTATAACCAGCCCCATTTCCTCTTGACTCTCGAACCCCGTACAGGCCTATGTTTACTTACGCCGATTTTTGTTCTTCCCCAGCAACTTCACGGCTTCACCCGTGTTTGCTGGGTGCGAATGTCCATTGCGTTCCGTACTGTCCCCTATTTGGAGCTCGAGAGCGAGAGGCGAATAGTTATAATAGCCATTCCCGGGTTCGCCGAGCCTATGCTATACGCTCAGTGGGGTATGGAGAAGGGACGGGAGGGTGTTGGTTTTTGGGGGACAATTACGCCGACTTAAAACTAAGTACGACGCGGAATCCCCCTAGACCAGTCGATTAATATTACTCCAAACATTTGGGACTACTATTTGGAGTTGGGGAGTTGTTATTACGCTGCAGGGTGTAGTTTCCTAGTCGAGGTCTTCGTCTTGTTCATTATTGTCATTATTCGTGTCGGATAGTTCCTGAACTTGGTAAAGTGTGTCGGTTGTTTTTTTTTATTTTGTTTTTATTGTTGCTCTCAACTGTTCTTGTTAATTTGTGAGAAGTGCATGTTTTGTGCTAACGTGTCATGAAATGTGAAGCATGGTCTCCCGACTTTTTTGTCTTTAAGATCTAGTTTAAGGGTGGCTTGTAG